AAACTCACACCCCAGAAGTGACTCGAACTCATACTGCCAGGAGCACTCTGCTGGCGTACAGGATCCCTTAACCGCTCGACCAACACGACCAGACAAAAGAGGATGGTAGCCGAGGCTATTTCCATCCCCCCCCCCCCCGCCAGCACTCGGTTGTAATCTTGGGCATGGTATTTTATCATCCTCTTTTGTCCAGTCGAACCACCATTTACCCCTCACTCATTATTACAGCTGCTATAATTATGGAAGCATCAACTCAAATGTTCATCTTTATTAGTGATGAATGTTTTTGTTACTTTTTTGCCCTCTTTACACCAAGAACGTACACTTGTGGTTAAGTGAAAGTATGCTTTTTCACTACCACATTTCCTTAGGTTAGTACGCCTCAGCTGGTGCAGTAATCTGGCCTGCCATGTAACCTAGTCAGACTCAAATTTTATGGAGAGAATTAGCTGGGATAACATCTCCCTTTGAGCAGATGAAAAGCATTTCTGTGTCCCGGTTTCATCAACTTAACTAGATCACCTTCTGTGGACGTTACCAGAGCTGAAGGCATTTACGGCTTCGGCGAGCAGGTAATTCCACGGTTTTATTACCTCATCGGAGAAAAACATCTGTTTTTTATGTCCAACATTGTGGCTTTTTGAGCTTCAAGCTAATGCCTTGTATGCGTTACAGTGGATCTTTCAAAGAAGTCGTCTGGATTAAAATATTATAACTTCTTTAGCATTTTAATGGTCTCGATAAGATCAGCGCCGACGTGTCTCGTGTGTGGTGTTGTTAGTCTCGAAGCCTTCAACCTTCCCTCCTATGAGAGTTGACTTAGTTCTGGGATAATTGTTCTTGTTCTTCCCTGAACGTTTTCCAAAGCAAATGTCATTTTGAAAGTGAGGTCTCCAGACTTGGATATAGTGGTTCAGATGGGTGACGTACCAGAGACTTCCTGTGTATACCAGGATGGCTGTGGACGTTACCAGTAGCCTGTGTAAGTATACCAGGATGGCTGTGGACGTTACCAGTAGCCTGTGTAAGTATACCAGGATGGCTGTGGACGTTACCAGAAGCCTGTGTATGTATACCAGGATGGCTGGGGACGTTACCAGTAGCCTGTGTATGTATACCAGGATGGCTGGGGACGTTACCAGTAGCCTGTGTATGTATACCAGGATGGCTGGGGACGTTACCAGAAGCCTGTGTATGTATACCAGGATGGCTGGGGACGTTACCAGAAGCCTGTGTATGTATACCAGGATGGCTGGGGACGTTACCAGTAGCCTGTGTATGTATACCAGGATGGCTGGGGACGTTACCAGTAGCCTGTGTATGTATACCAGGATGGCTGGGGACGTTACCAGAAGCCTGTGTATGTATACCAGGATGGCTGGGGACGTTACCAGAAGCCTGTGTATGTATACCAGGATGGCTGGGGACGTTAAAATATTTTACCCTGGAGCCCGTCACTACTCTTGACTGACGAGCAGTTCAAGTTGTCTGTCTGTACCGACAACTTTTTTTTTTTTTTTTTTTTTTTTTTTTGAGATATATACAAGAGTTGTTACATTCTTGTACAGCCACTAGTACGCGTAGCGTTTCGGGCAAGTCCTTAATCCTATGGTCCCTGGAATACGATCCCCTGCCGCGAAGAATCGTTTTTCATCCAAGTACACATTTTACTGTTGCGTTAAACAGAGGCTACAGTTAAGGAATTGCGCCCAGTAAATCCTCCCCGGCCAGGATACGAACCCATGACATAGCGCTCGCGGAACGCCAGGCGAGTGTCTTACCACTACACCACGGAGACTGCTGTTCAGCAGGGGGATAGATGTGGGTCTTCAGTTAGGTAAATATGGGTCAGCAGTGGTTGGAGGTCACCTATAAGAGTGTGAAGGTTGGAACATGGGACCTACTGGGTGTGACTAAAGGTGAGGCGTGGGTGAGGCGTGGGTAAGGCTTGAGTGAGGCGTGGGTGAGGCGTGCTAGTAAGACTCCCCCAGGTCACTCCTCGCTCAGCCCCTCCCCCACCATCTCGTGTTGCTGTCTGATGGGCGACCCAGTTTTATGCGTATAAGGGCGGGGCGAGTTTGTTTTGGAGGAGAGTGTTCCTGCGGCCCCCTGACGGATGGAATGTATTATACTCCACCCTTGACCTGCCGTCACTACCTCCTGGACAGTCAGCGTGGGCGCCGCCTGGCTAGTTAGCGTGGGCGCCGCCTGGCTAGTTAGCGTGGGCGCCGCCTGGCTAGTTAGCGTGGGCGCCGCCTGGCTAGTTAGCGTGGGCGCCGCCTGGCTAGTTAGCGTGGGCGCCGCCTGGCTAGTTAGCGTGGGCGCCGCCTGGCTAGTTAGCGTGGGCGCCGCCTGGCTAGTTAGCGTGGGCACCGCCTGGCTAGTCAGCGTGGGCACCGCCTGGCTAGTTAGCGTGGGCGCCGCCTGGCTAGTTAGCGTGGGCACCGCCTGGCTAGTCAGCGTGGGCGCCGCCTGGCTAGTTAGCGTGGGCGCCGCCTGGCTAGTCAGCGTGGGCGCCGCCTGGCTAGTTAGCGTGGGCGCCGCCTGGCTAGTCAGCGTGGGCGCCGCCTGGCTAGTTAGCGTGGGCGCCGCCTGGCTAGTTAGCGTGGGCACCGCCTGGCTAGTCAGCGTGGGCGCCGCCTGGCTAGTTAGCGTGGGCGCCGCCTGGCTAGTTAGCGTGGGCACCGCCTGGCTAACTAGCGTGGGCGCCGCCTGGCTAGTTAGCGTGGGCGCCGCCTGGCTAGTTAGCGTGGGCGCCGCCTGGCTAGTTAGCGTGGGCACCGCCTGGCTAGTTAGCGTGGGCACCGCCTGGCTAGTTAGCGTGGGCACCGCCTGGCTAGTTAGCGTGGGCACCGCCTGGCTAGTTAGCGTGGGCGCCGCCTGGCTAGTTAGCGTGGGCGCCGCCTGGCTAGTTAGCGTGGGCGCCGCCTGGCTAGTTAGCGTGGGCACCGCCTGGCTAGTTAGCGTGGGCACCGCCTGGCTAGTTAGCGTGGGCACCGCCTGGCTAGTTAGCGTGGGCACCGCCTGGCTAGTTAGCGTGGGCACCGCCTGGCTAGTTAGCGTGGGCGCCGCCTGGCTAGTTAGCGTGGGCGCCGCCTGGCTAGTTAGCGTGGGCGCCGCCTGGCTAGTTAGCGTGGGCACCGCCTGGCTAGTTAGCGTGGGCGCCGCCTGGCTAGTTAGCGTGGGCACCGCCTGGCTAGTTAGCGTGGGCGCCGCCTGGCTAGTTAACGTGGGCACCGCCTGGCTAGTTAGCGTGGGCACCGCCTGGCTAGTTAGCGTGGGCACCGCCTGGCTAGTTAGCGTGGGCACCGCCTGGCTAGTTAGCGTGGGCACCGCCTGGCTAACTAGCGTGGGCGCCGCCTGGCTATAGTTAGCGTGGGCGCCACCTGGCTAGTTAGCGTGGACGCCGCCTGGCTAGTTAGCGTGGGCACCGCCTGGCTAGTTAGCGTGGGCACCGCCTGGCTAGTTAGCGTGGGCACCGCCTGGCTAGTTAGCGTGGGCACCGCCTGGCTAACTAGCGTGGGCGCCGCCTGGCTATAGTTAGCGTGGGCGCCACCTGGCTAGTTAGCGTGGACGCCGCCTGGCTAGTTAGCGTGGGCACCGCCTGGCTAGTTAGCGTGGGCACCGCCTGGCTAGTTAGCGTGGGCACCGCCTGGCTAACTAGCGTGGGAAAGCTCTCAGCTTTATAACAGGAATCAGAAGTCGTCTGTTCCTGTGCCTTCCTGTGTAAAAAAAAGATATGATTTCAATAGTCGGGTTCGTTCCGACTCACAATCTGGAATTCCGGGTTCGAAGCTATGACGGGACAGAAATGGTTGTGCGCGTTTTCTATCACCTAATGCAGCTGTTCATCTAGCAGTAAATAGGTACCCTTGGAGTTAGTCAGCTTGATTGGGGGGGGGGGGGTTGCATCATTGGGCAGGGGAAGTATTTGGGAGGGGGGGGGGAGGACCTTAACATGAGCCTAACATGTGTATATATACACTGGTTGCCTGTCCCCCGACACAATGAATTATTATTTTTACTAAACTGCCGGAAATCTCAGACAAAAATTTGTCGAATCACAACTCAAAAAGTTTCATTGACATTATTCCAGAATAACATCGTCTTATGTACACGCTGTATTATAATTACAACAACGACAAAAGACTCTACATAATTAAAGATAATTAGTTTACACGTCAACTCTAAAGTAGTGTTTAATTGTGGTCGTCTATATTGTGAGATGGATGTCGCTAAGGCGAGAATGTCGCAGTTACTCCATAATGCAGGTCGTTTTCTGTTCCTCACTTTCTCCCGTACTCTTCCACGCTACCACACTTCTCTGTTCCTCACGGGACCTGTCCTCTCAAATAATGCTTCGCATTTTGACGTCAAAATCACTTTATGCTCGTCGCCCCTAAATCAACACAACAAAATCACGTTTTCTGTCTCGGGTCGCTCGGTTAAATTAGGTTTTGGTACACCATATTCTGTCCGTTGTGGCAACCCGAGAGAACGGGCTGCCTCACAACCAAACCTGTTGGGCATCTACTTGCATCCTTCTCTGTGTTGTCAAAGTATATACACTGCTATGGAAGCAGAAGCTTCCATAGCAGTGTGCGCTAAACAAGATGTTTGAGTCCAGGTTCTGAAGAAAGATATCTTCGTCTTCACCTTCTTGACTTTCCCTCCGTTGTTGACACTACCAGTTCCGTCGTCGCCTCCGTCAGCGTCACCGCCAGTTACAGCCTCCACCGCTGCTAGTAAGGTGACACCTTGTGCCCCACTAAGGTCACTAAGGTTTCCAACACATGGGGTGGAACTAGTCGGCCTTAAGATGAAAAAAATCATACTAAACAGAACCATTTGGCCTGGTCGGCAGAGCGAAGACGTTCCTTCTTGCAATCGGCGTTCGATCCCCAATGGCCCAGTTGGTTGCGCTTTCAAAGCGCTATATATAGTCACACAGCCTTCACGATTTGTGTAACTAGCGTCAAAAGATTGTTATTTGCTTAGCTAAACGAACTAGAGGGTTCAGTTCCTGAATAGATTATGTGCCTCTGTAATCCTTTACACCACCGCCCACGGGATGGGTATGGGGTACATAATAAAGAAAGAAATTGAAAAAATCTCCTGATAATTATTTTACATCTATTTACAAGTTTTAGGAATAAAGTAGGCATTCAGAGTTCACTGTGTGTTTCTTTACTGAGGCAGCTACTCCCATCCTCTGGCAGTCTTAGTACTGGAGTACCGTGGACACTGTCTTCACTGGTGCCTCCAGTCATCTCAGGAAGTGACTGGCCTTCCTCGCCATTCCCCGTACACTTCCACACTCTGGGCGTCACCTGACACCTCTTTAAACATTCTCTAGCACCCATAAACCTCCCTCCCTGCCACATGTCACACCCTCACTCCACCTGGAGTTCATCTACTTGGACTGGTCGGTAGAATTACGGTCTCACTTCCTGCAGGGGCAGTGTTCGATCCTCTAAGGTCCAAGTGGTGGAATACCGTTCCTTCACTCCGCCCTCATATCCCAGCTCCTTGTCCTCACATAGACTGATGAAGATTAAGTCACTCTGAGAGGTGGGAAGGGCATGAGTAGCCCGTAAGTTGTCCTCACATCCCTTCCAAGTGCTCACATATAGTCGAAATGGTTCAGCGTTGTGCCTTACTTTCCCTCTTACACCAGGACTAGAAGTGTGCAGTGACGAGACAGAAGTCACATAGCTCTCGCATGTTGACTTAAGAGATCGGTAACTATTACCAGACCACGCCACCTTAGTCTGTATTCACTTACCACCTCCGAATTGCTATGAAGTCCTCAACCAAGGTTATTACTGACCACCTCGTAGCGCTTTCGATTTCGTTAAGTGTTCAGTGAATACAGATTAAGATTTCATGATATGATACGAGGAAAACAAGCCGTAAGTTCTCTCTGGGCCTTGGCCTGGGAGTATATTTCCGTTTTTGTGAAGGATAGGAGCAGTGACGTCCCTCTGTTCGTCCCTAATCGTTCTCTCGATTTGCCACTCCGTAGAAAATGTAACTCTTTTTGCCTCTTAAGAAACGTATGTGCTCAAGCAACCCACCTACTCTATCGAGTAGATGCATAGAACATGTAAATTTGTACAGAGCTTCCACTTACATTAACAAGTCGCATTGTTAACGGCAACGTTAAAATGTGACGCATTAGGTGAGAGGACGAGTTGGTATCCTTGGATAACATGTACCATCATTTGTTGTGCAACAGTAAAGCAACAACCATTTGCTGGATCCACAGTGACGGAGATTGTCCAAGGAATTTCACCCCCTTCCCCAACTATTCCACCCCACAAGGACTCTACTACCAGTTCTCTTGACACACTGTTGGCACCTGGCACTTCACGCCATCACGGGTTCACTGATGAGCCTCCATGGCACTCCTCTTAGCCCCCTGACACGACGTGACACCTCGTGGCTTTCTGTCGTTCCTTGGCACTCAAATTAACACGTGTCACCTGAGAGAGAGAGAGAGAGAGAGAGAGAGAGAGAGAGAGAGAGAGAGAGAGAGAGAGAGAGAGAGAGAGAGAGAGAGAGAGAGAGAGAGAGAGAGAGAGAGAGAGAGAGAGAGAGAGAGAGAGAGAGAGAGAGAGAGAGAGAGAGAGAGAGAGAGAGAGAGAGAGACACACAGAGAGAGAGAGAGAGAGAGAGAGAGAGAGAGACACAGAGAGAGAGAGAGAGAGAGAGAGAGAGAGAGAGAGAGAGAGAGAGAGAGAGAGAGAGAGAGAGAGAGAGAGAGAGAGAGAGAGAGAGAGAGAGAGAGAGACAGAGAGAGAGAGAGAGAGAGAGAGAGAGAGAGAGAGAGAGAGAGAGAGAGAGAGAGAGAGAGAGAGAGAGAGAGAGAGAGAGAGAGAGAGAGAGAGAGACACAGAGAGAGAGAGAGAGACCCTCACAAGAACCCAGTCCACAACTGTTGGCCTGGTTCACACAGCAATAATCAGAGACTTTGGAGTAAAACAGATTGATGAGTCGTGTTCCAGGAAAAAAAATTAAAAACGTGTAGGCTTACCATGACTTAGGGGATGGAAAAGCTCTGGGTCTGGTATCAGGAGTCTCGGGTGTCTTCTGTACTCACCTGTGTAAACAAAAAACAAAACAAAGAATACGATAGTAAATTATTCTTGACAGATAATTATCAAAGAATGAGAGAGCTCGGAAAGAGAATGAGATAATGATATGAGAGAAAATGAGGCAGAGTTTTAATGATATAGAGGCAGAGGTGAAATAAAAATGAGAGCAGAGAAATGTAGTAAAGAATAAAAATCGATATTATGGTTAATTTCTTCGAGAAAATAGCAATAATATAGACGAGAAAGAAAGAGAGAGAGCTGCAGATGGTAACCAAAAAGAAATATGCCACACTAAAAGGAACAACAGTGATCGCTATCTCTTAAAAGCTACCGTGGCGGCCTTAACTAAACACAGTCGGCGGAATGGCTCCCGCTGTGAATGCTTCTGCTCGCCCCATTTCTCCCTTTGCATAGCGAAACCATTTAAATGCCAACGGATCCTCGTCAATGCAGAGTCGGCAGCTTACAGCCAAATCCCATCCCATTTACCTAAGTGGAGTCCAATAGATACAATGGGATCCTACGCCAGCGGGGTTCAGGATAAAAACTAGAGACTGGCATTTCTCTATCTCTGAGGAATACAGCTTGCTTAGAATTCTACTTAAATGAGGGAGAAACTCGCAAGGAAATCTGGAGATTTTCTATTTCACAGATAACCGGGTAGTTTATAAGTTATAATGTTCTTAAACGGTTGAAGCGAAGTGCAGATAACTGTTGTGTCTGTGGGCGCGACTCTGAAGGCAAGGAAAGGGGACACTAAGCCCGGTAGAGGTACGAGAACAAGGAGATTGGATAAGAGAACGGAGAAAAGGAACGGTGTCTAGCCACTTGGATTATGGGGATAGACCCTATATGTTCTTCATGTCATGATAGTTCTTATGTCCGTGGACATCTTCAAGAGGAAACTAGATTTATTCCTCCAAGGAGTGCCGGACCAACCGGGCTGTGGTGGGTATGTGGGCCTGCGGGCCGCTCCAAGCAACAGCCTGGTAGACCAAACTCTCACCAGTCAAGCCTGGCCTCGGGCCGGGCTTGGGGAGTAGAAGAACTCCCAGAACCCCATCAACCAGGTATCAACCAGGTTATGCAGACGAGGTGTCACAATAACGTGGCTGAAATATGTTGTACCAAACCACACACTAGAAAGTGAAGAGACGACGACGTCACAATCGACTTAAGAATGGTCCAGGATGGACCGATACGTCCTCGTCCCTTCACTTCCTAGTGTGTGGTTTGGTCAACATTGATAGTTCTTCATGTCGACACATTTCACTATCACGTCAATGACATTGTATTTTCGCTGTGGTTACGCCGTTTGTTATATTTATCTTGAATCATTCTCTGCCTTGATAGCCCTCGGGGGAGAGAACTCAGAGCTAACGGACGGTGAACTGACAGAGCGAGGACAGTGAGACAGGGGACAGAGGAAAGGGGACACTGTGGAGGAAATCGAGGACAATTGGGGGAAGAGATTCTGCAATTGTATAAATACAGTGGATGGTTGTTATTTGTACCAGTACACCATGTACACCATGTACACCATGTACATCACGGGTCAGCCTTGCAGGTGCATCAAGCAGGCATGCTGGCAGGTGCTGGACTCTTAAATCAAATATAATTATGAACAATGAAATCACATTAACGTGATTTCATGGCAAGTGCTCCGTGAAGTACGTTCTGCAGGAGGCAAGCGTGTAATGTCAATTTCGCTTTTCGAAGCATCAATTTTCTTCAGGTAATGTTCACAAATCATCATATAGGTGTCCCCATTGTGAAGGAATAGGAAGGCTTAGCGTGGTTTCCCTAGTCAACGACTGGCTATTCATCTGAACGCAATACACCTATTTACTACAAGGGAAACTATGTAAATAGTGGTATCGGATGTAAGGAAACATGACCAAACATCTCAACCTGCCCGGGATCGAACCCTGGACAAATCAGTTGTGAGCCAACTGCACTAAACCCCTGCTGTGCTCCAGAGGTGTTATTGGATTTTCACCGAACAAAGAGAAAGAAAGGTATTTAACCCTGCATTTGTTACCTGTCCAACAATAGCACCAATTTGTAAACAAAGCTGCCAATTGGGCATGATGGGCCTCATCCGGGCACAACAAGAGAAATGCAGCAGATTTATGCTTGCCACACGGAGCCCTGGTAATGTTGCAGCCAGTTAAGAAAAGTCGGCTTCCACTGCGACCCCCACGACTCTCATTAAGACAGACAGAGACTGGCAGAGAGGTGAACAAACAGCGACAGGCAGAAAGACTTACACACACATACATAAAGGTACCATTTTTTTTAACATTTCTTTCAAGAAATCATATTATATTTATAAAGCATGGCAATAGTCAAAATATATTACAGAAGAGGTTCTGATGACATATTTGCCTTCAAGGGCCCCAACAATTGAATGGTGCAACCTTTGGCCCGGGCATCGCCGGGTACCTCATCTACTGTAATATATAAAATATTACGTCAAACTGCACACCAATGGGATATACACCCAGAGGTATACCTCAGCTTTTCGATGTATATACAATGAGTTTACTTTATTCATTGAATAAAGTTCAGGATCAAAGTAAACTTAATGGTTGGTCAGTAAGGTATTGTGTTGCCTTAGTAACCCTCCAGAGGTTGATAGGCCTTAATAACCCTCCAGAGGTTGATATAGGCCTTAATAACCCTCCAGAGGTTGATATAGGCCTTAATAACCCTCCAGAGGTTGATATAGGCCTTAATAACCCTCCAGAGGTTGATATAGGCCTTAATAACTCTCCAGAGGTTGATAGGCCTTAATAACATGGTCATGGAACATGGTCACAGCCATGTTCCTCCTTTATGAAATTAACTGTTAATGTTATGTCTGCGTGAGCTCTCTGCCTCTGACTGGCCCTCTCTGTGTTACTCATGTGAGTATTACTTAGGTAATGAATGAGTAATTATGATTTTTGGTTTTCAGAAAGTTGTATTCTATATGTTTCACTATTTCTTGTGTTGTTGAATTTCAGAGTCTGATATGATTTATATCTCTTGTGTTAGAATAATGTCAGATAGTGTTTAAGTGCTTCAGAGGCAATTTCTGATATGAAAGACTACCTCCTTCCTTCCATAACCGTCGGTGTCATGACGTCGTAGGAGAGCTAGGAAGGTAGCATCTTCTTGAGGTTATCTTGAGACGATTTCGGGGCTTTTTTTTTAGTGTCCCCGCGGCCCGGTCCTCGACCAGGCCTCCACCCCCAGAAAGCAGCCCGT